CCCCCCCCCCCCCCCCCCGCGGGAACCCGAACCCGAACTCACATAAAAATAAAAATAAAAATAAAAATAAAAATAAAAAATTTGCTACACCATGAATTCTTCCACTCATCAAACACCAAAATGCTTGAGAATCATTCTAAAATACATCCAACATTTACAGTGTACAATTAACCTTTCACTTTCTAAATAGTTTGTCATCCACCTATGGAAGATAAATAATTTGGTATCTATACAAGAGAGACACCATGGTATTGCTGCATCATGGGCATGCTTGCTGCTACTGAATTAGACAATACTCGACACAGCAGATACAGTTTTTCTTCCTTAATCCTGTCGAGTTCAGCTTCCCAAACATGCCCTAAGGAATTTGTAATCCCACAGAAAGGAAAAGGAAATTTCAAATTCCAAGATCAAATGAAGGAGAGCCCGGAAGATCGAGATTCTGAGCCATAGGTTCAGAAGTCCTCACTTGATTCTGCATGGAGCACTCTGATTTGTATCTGAGTAGTTTGGTAGCTTGTTCCTCAAGTGCATCAAGATCGATATCTTCAAAAAACCGATCGTCTTCAAATATATCTAGGTTTTCTTCAGTTCTTGCGCGTGAGGGTGAGTTATTTTGTGCAGCTTCAGAATGTAACAAGAACTCATTCTCTAAGTTGACCATCGGTATCGATTGAGCTTGGTTAAAGCTCAATTTCCTTTTCTGATTCTCAGTCTTGCTCTCATTTTCACTAGTGTCTAACCCAATTTGAGGAGTTTGAAGAGAATGATTTTGTGGTCCTATCAAGTTGGTCCTTTTGTCTGTCCTAATACTTGGAGCTGTGGAATCAGGACTAATATGAGTCGAAAAGTTGGGCAATCTCTCCAAGGGCGATTGACTGAGTAAGGATCGCCTGAAATAAAAAACGAAAAACTCAATTTAAAATAATTGAAAGAATACAAGGCTTAGTTCCATGAGAAAATTACGCTAACATCTATAGCAGCTATAATAAATTCTTGCAAGGGGATTAGATTTATACCCAATTTTCCAACTAAACTGGCTTAAAATGAAGAAATAAAAAGTAAATAATTTAGATTTTAAATATACCATTATAGGAGTACCTAAATTACCTGCACGATTCTTAGAAGTCAAATTCAATTTTTACATTAAGTATAAGGTCTTCCCTGTAATATTCACTCAAAATCCGGCTTCAGACACTATTGCTTCCCATTTTTCACATCTCAATTCATCAAGTTGTTAAGAAATATATTCTGACAATGAGGAACCCTCTAGGAGAACTCACCTTCCACCCACAGGAAAAAAAAAGAAAACATAGAGCAAAGAGAACAATAAAATGAAAGCCAACTCAAAAAATTGATAGGAAACTGAAAATCATCAATGGAAGAATAGATAGAACAGAATACATAAATGATAGAACAGATAAACAAAAACCTGTAAATTGCCATCATGTCGATTCTGCCCACTTCAGCTTGCGTACTTGCTGCTGTAGAATTTACACAGTCGTCTATGAAACTATCATCATATGTACTGTTAGCATCATCTTCCTCATCTTCAGACGCCATAACTTCTGAAGAGACCCTGAGAATGAATGAGCATAAACTGTTAGCAAGCTAGGTTTAATTTCAGAATTGATCAATTGAATGATGAATGGGATTCTTTTAGTGCAAACCAGGAACAAAAACTAATGGTACATGAATCATATTTTGCTAGATTCTTCCATCCATTGAATAAATCTAAGCAACTAAAAAAGATAAAGCCAAGAGAGAAGGGCAGGGCCGGGGGGGGGGGGGGGGGGATT